ACACACACACACACACACACACACACACACACACACACACACACACACACACACACACACACAGAGTAAACAAAAACAGAATTTATTTGTGTCAGAAACAACAAACAGCAGCAGAGTGAAACTCAGAACTGCAAACATCACCAGAAACAACAGGGGAAGAGGAGGATTGTGGGTTTTAACTGATCTGCTAACACACAGCTACTTCCTGTCTGCACAGGAAGTCAGCAGAGAGGCTCATGGGAAGCTGTCGTCRTCATCTTCGGCCATTTCTTTGGCGAATTCCAGATCCTGCTGCTCTCTTTCCCGACGCTCCTGAACGCACCACGGAGGAAAACAAGAGTTTATCCAGAGAAAGGTAAACGTTTTAGATGCTGCTGGTCTGTAGTTTATTAAGTGTGTGTGTGTGTGTGTGTGTGTGTGTGTGTGTGTGTGTGTGCGTGCGTGTGTGTGTTACCTCAGCAGACTCCAGGTCCTTGTTGTAGGCTTTAGGAGGAAACCTCATGGCCTGCAGGAGGACAAACATCAGTCTGATTTATTTGGACCTCAGAGATGAATTTARTCTCACAGAACAAACTTTCAACAGGTTTATCTTCTTCGTTTTTTTTTATTCTGAAACCACAGCAGGAGGTTCTGAAGGCTCAGGAATCAAACTTTAAATCTTTTTTTTTTTTTTTTTCGTTTTTACACCAAAAACATCCGATCAGAACCAAGCTTTACTTCCTGGTTCCACAACAATAAAGATCCATTTACTGAGATGGGTTTGAAAGCTGAAGAGAAAACAAAAATGATTTGATCAGAAGGAACCAGACGACAGTAAATGGCTCGATGTGAGGCCAGAATTAAGACTATTCCACAACCAGCGGTTGTAGGAGGAGACTATAYCTACTCCTAAAGCAGGCACCGCTAACTGAGGCCAGAGCTGGCAAATGAGAAGGAGACTATTCATTTATGTTAGCATCAGAGAGGCTAGTGACTAGCATGGATAAACTGGTGTCAGCATTGGAGAGGCTAGCTGCTCAGCTAGTGGTGTCGGCTGCTCAGCTTGCGGTGTCGGCTGCTCAGCTTGCGGTGTCGGCTGCTCAGCTTGCGGTGTCGGCTGCTCAGCTAGCGGTGTCGGCTGCTCAGCTTGCGGTGTCGGCTGCTCAGCTTGCGGTGTCGGCTGCACAGCTAGTGGTGTCGGCTGCTCAGCTAGTGGGGTTGGCCGTTCAGTTAGCGGTGCTAGCTGCTCAGTTAGCGGTGCTAGCTGCTCAGTTAGAGGTGCTAGCTGCTCAGTTAGAGGTGCTAGCTGCTCAGTTAGAGGTGCTAGCTGCTCAGTTAGAGGTGCTAGCTGCTCAGTTAGCGGTGCTAGCTGCTCAGTTAGCGGTGCAAGCTGCTCAGTTAGCGGTGCTAGCTGCTCAGTTAGCGTTGTCAGCCTGTCATTAATCAGATCAACAGCTGGCTCAGGAACAGATGTAGCCTAACAACCACTGGTTGAGCAATAGTCTTAATTTTGACCCTCACACTCTGCCGTAGACAGAAAAGCTCAGCCTGAATCCGGCTCAGCAGAGTCCAGAGGTCAACCCGACTGAAGAATGGTTCTGGTTCTGTTGGAATCACATTTCTTCCTGGACCTGGTGTCAGACACTGTGCCCTCAGGTGAGCCTCACCTTGACGGACATGTTGTGGATGTCGAGGCAGAAGGAGATCCTCTGATGGAAGGCCAGCTGAGGCTCTCTGGTGCCGTAGATGTCCATGGTCTCCTTYGATTGGACGAAGCCTTTCTCATGGTTGATGCTGGCCTCGATCACGCCGTCACGTATCGCCTGCAGGGCACGGGGTCGTTAGCTCCGCCCCCTCCWATTGGCGCAGACTGAGTGTTTTTAACCTGGTTACCTTGGCAACGATGAACTCTGCGTCCTCCGGGCTGTCGAGCTGCAGCTTCTGAGCGATGTCGGCCAGAGAGATCCTCGAGTACGACAGGCTGATCATCCTCACACCTGAACACACACACACACAGCGATGATGTCACAGGGAGCTCACCTGGAAGCATTAACGATGGGTCTGTCGGAGCAGACGAGGCAGATGATTGGCTCACCGGTCTTGATGACGTTGTGTCGCAGACGGATGATGAGCGTGTACGTGCCGTCGGTCTGAAACTTCTCTCCAAACTGCTCCAACACCTGGTTAAACTTGGCCAGGTTACCTGTCCTCACAGCTGAGCATCACACACACACACACACACACACACACACACACACACACACACACACACACACACACACA